AAAGAGCTCAGACCTGATTAGCTGGTCTGATTAACCCACCGGCGTTTGCGTTTGTGGGTAAAATTCTGTCTGGCTTGACTCATTATCAGCAGTGATCAGAGGCAGGTCCATCAGGGCCTTCTGTCAGAGCGGCTTAGCCCCCCCTTACAGAGCCCCCACCCCCGACACTCAGGATTAGACACAGCACTGGCGCCGCTCCACGGACCACTTGTCCTCTCTGTTGGGGCGCTGCACCCCCCCCCCCCCCCTCCAGCACATAACCCCTATTAACTGGCAGGTCAATGCATGCCCGTCATTAACCTTGTGGCTCTTGTTTGTGTTACTCGCAGTGGCGCTCAAAGTGTCACTTCATGCAGAGGTGGCAGAAGCTACTAAAAACAGCCCGGCTCCTGATGGTCACTTTGATTGGAAGCAGATGTTTCGCTGCACACAGCATTTGCTTGTGTGTGATTTCAGACACAAGGTGCAATAGAGGCTACGACAAGGAGCTCCTTTGTGAAACCATCACACGGGTATAAATGTGCCGGTGCTCAATAATCCGCGCGTGCGCTCACCAGATCCGTCCCGTCAACTCCTTCTGCATTAATACTTTAGAGTGAAAGACAGTGAATGATTATTTTTTCTTTTTGCAGTTTAGTTAAAAAAGACTATACTCCCCAAAAGAAAACCCTCCCTGTTCTTTGATCCGATCTCGTGCGGGGAGGCGGTGCCTGCTCGGAGACGGCGTTATCTGGCCGACCTTGGTGAGAGTGCGCAGGGCCGGGAGCCCACGGGGAGAAGTATGTGGGGGTCCGACCGAATGTTGCAAAGCCTCGGAAAGACCCGTAGGGAGAGTTCACAGTTCTTTAACTGTGTACGAATTGACTTCGTAAACAAGATTATTATCATTGTATTAACATCGTATTTTAAAGTTCCGATTGTTGCATTGAAACGCTGAACCAAATAATGCAACGACGCTGCAAGTCGACATGGGAAATAATATGCCAATTATGACTCGCACGGCTGTGTCCGTGCTCTCCTCGGCCAATGGACTATCACAGTTTGGGGGTGGACAGACGGACGGACGGACGGACGGATGCACAGGTCTCTCACCTGTCTGTCTGTCCGGTGGCCACAGCTGCAGACAGCTGTACATGACCATTTCACTGAGAAACCAGGGGCCTCACAAGTCACAGCTCATCACACACACACACACACACACACACACACACACAGTGACACGGGGGCGGAAGAAGGGAATTGTGTGTGTGTGTGTGTGTCTGCAGTCGAGCAGTTCGGTTTGTGTTTTGCAAAGCCCCTGAGCACAGTAGAGAGAGAGAGAGGGGGGGGGATGGGTGGCGCTCGGAGCCGGTGGGACATTATCTCATCTCCCTTGGGTGGGATCCAGGTCTTTGCGGGCCTGATGAGGAGGAGAGGAAATGAAACCACTCGCTTTTATACCGGGTTTAAGGATCACAGGGTGACGCCAGGAAAGAATTGAGGGGTACCTCATATAAGGCTGACTCAGTCTGTGTGAGAGTGTGTGTGTGTGTGTGTGTGTGTGTGTGTGTGTGTGTGTGTCGTGCTAGGTGGAACAGGCTCCTCCCCCTTTTCAGACTGAAGCGATATCATCTTCCCAACCCTCCGCTTGACCTTGATGCATCCCCCCCCCTTTGTAACTCAAACCTCCGGAGACGGTTCTTTCTCACCCCTGAAGCACGCACCGCTGCCCCCCGGTGTTGTCTTTTCCTGTGTGGTCGCCACTTTTACGCCTGCGTGGGAACCGTCGGCACCATCCATCAGTCACTCGACTTGTTTACTTTGTTTGTTTGTTTTCTTCCTCAAAGCAGAAAAATGAATTACACCTCCCCGGGGCTCAAATGACATAAAACAAAAACACTTTAATAGATGTGTCATTTTCCGTTTCTTTGATAACAATGTTCTGCTCTGTGCGTTAGCAGTGAGGGATAGCGTTTGTGTTGACATTCTGAATTAGATGACTCGACAAATGGTCTTCAATCATCATTTCTGATTTATCGGCGCTGCGTTCGGCGCGTTGCCAGAAATTCGTCTGCTTTCTGACAGCGTCTGGTGTTCTCTTTGCTGACATGATACATTTTCAAGAGCCGACACCATTCAAATCTCACTCCGCACAGCTGAATAACATACGAGTTTCATTCCATAATCGATTCAAAAGCGGGGTGTCTTTCAAAGTCAGCAGATCCGCGCGAACAGATCATTTTATCTCCCGGGCTCATTTTAATGATCCAGCATCTGAGGGAGGCCCTGGAAAGACGTTTAAAACAACCCAAATTGGAAATGTTTTATCTATTTTTTGTATTTATTTACAGTAAGTCAACCCTTAGGAAAGCCCTGCCGGACGAAATGACCCCTTGCTAATAAGGACAGTATGTTCCAAACAAAGTTATCTATGACCCCGGAAAGACCCCAAACATAATTGTCTGCACAAGCTCATACATAAGCAAAGGGAAACCGTCCTCCCCTGCGGCTTCTTATTGCCTTCACTGAACAAAATCCGCCTGGCTGGACACATCAAAGGCAGCACAATGGAATCAGATGCCAGAAGAAGAAAAAAAGCAACTCTTCAAACTCCATTGAAATCTGTCAATAAGAAAAACACCTTGAATGCATGCCCAGAATGAAGAGTAAAAACCATCTAAAAGCTTCTGGGGGGAAAACATGCCAGTACCCACGACGGTGCGTGGTAAAAGTCATCCTGGATCTTTATTATTAAAAGAAAAAGAAAAGTCATTCGACACTAGAAAACATTTAAAGAAATATGAAATTAAAACATCTCAAACGGTAAACGCAATATCGCGTTTAGACTTGACTCACAATATCCTACAACGTTGTTACGCGTTGTTAAACTGACCCCACTGCAGTCATCGCCTGGTGGCATCTCTTTAGCATTACGGGGAGCAGCTGCGTGTATAAACATGGGTGAGGAGGACGGATCAGTTGCGCTTTGCGACCTTTTTCTTCTTCTTCCTCCCCTTATTATTATTATTCTTTGTGTGGTCCTTCCTAATAAAAGTCTTGCGATCGCTGCTGGCGGAAGTTCGCAGCCACCTGACGCCCGCTGGCGCAAACGCTCCCCGTGCGGACTGCACCTTGCCGTAAAAGCGCAACGATCGCAAAAACGAAAACATTTTAGCGCAAAGTTTCCCGACGGTCGCTTCTCCCCTTACCGTGTATCGCCCGTGCGCGCGCGCGCCGAACGCGGGTTGTTGTTGGAACAAGTTTATTCCGTCTGCGTGAAAACTTTATTCATCTTCCTCCGGCGCAGCCATGCCGCGAGACATTCTCCAGATCCAGCGCGTGTTCTGCAGCGCAGCGTCCCCGCACTCGCTCAGCGCGCGCTCGCTCGCGCACGCACGCACGCACACGCAGCCGGTTCGCTCCAGCAGGCACATACACGTAAAATGAGCCCCTCCAGCGGTGACATCACGGGTCGCTATGGCAACTCTGTCTCCACCCCAGTTGGGAACTGAATGTACCTGTCAGACTACCTTCGCTCCCACAACAAAGTTTCATATCCTCCGTCTCACTGCGAGTATTCCCAAAGATACGCACTTTATGACTTGATAGAATAATGCATTTGCATAGCACACACACACACACACACACACACACACACAGCTCTCCCCCCCTTTGTCTGTCTCTCTCTCCCTCTCACAAACAACACAGTTGAGTCGGTAGGTTTCGGAGTAACAACACTGAACCCATAACCCATGCAAAGAGTTCACCAACACCTCCCTGGGAGAGGAGGGTTCACTTTGCATGTGTGCAGGCTGCGTGGGCCGGTCTGAGAGCAGCGCACTGAATTCCTCCCGCACAATGCCTCGTGCCACTGCCTGGAGCTCCCCCGTTGTTCGGTGCCAATCTCATCATTACCTCGATTGTTTTGGCTACAAAGCCAGCTCGCCCCCTCCCTTTTGTCTCCCCTGACCCAGAGCAAACAAGCAGACAATGAGCAGGTGAGTCGAATGTCCGTCTCGCACCTCCCCCATCGACTTGCTTCATACTTAAAAAAAAAAAGACTTTCTTTTGAGTAAATGCTCCAAAACAAGACTGAGTCGTGTATATTTATTAGCTGTCGTTTTGAAACTCTTTGCGTGTTTTCCACAGCTTCGGAGAAACACCACATTAGTGTCCCAGAGCAGCTGTGGGAACGGAAGAGTGACAGGCAGATTTATAGGACAGACCTCACATTTAACCCGCGGCGAAAAAGGGAGAGGTGGAAATAGTTCTGCTGCAATGTTTCTACCTCAGTCCGCAGAGGGAAATAACAATACCTCAATGTCACCACACTTGGGCGTTCAAATGTCATGACATATACAGCGTGTAAGCTTTTAATTTGCACTGTCATCCATCTTCTATCTCTTTTGTCCCATTAAATGATCTGTGAAATACGTATGTGCGATATGTGGATAGTAAAAACACAATCTGCGTACGGCTTCTGCAGAAACTAACTAATCCATTGACGTGTTGTACCTTGTTTGTCCAATCTGGACACAAACCGTAGAGTGTAAACAATGATGTGCCATTGTACAGGAGGATTTGTGCCCGATTCTTTGCTTAAAGCCAAACTAACCAGCTGCTGGTGGCATTTATGTTAAGGAGTATTTCCCAAAAGGTCGACTCATTTAAATGACATTTGTGTCTCATTGGAATGTGTAGACAGTAAAACATAATACAGGATGCATATCATGAAAGGCTGTTTTACAGGTATTGCACAGATGAGTTTTACAATAACAACAGCTGATTCCCCGTAGAAACAATGCGGATGGTGTATGTAGGTCGTGAAACAAAACCAATGCCCTGAAAGATTCTAAAACCCTGTGTGGGTCCGTCACCATGTCAGACATTCATTGTAATTATTATTACCACTGCTGCGGCTTTAAAGCAAACAAACTGCACTCCATCACCTGGAAATAAACAAGACAACAAATCCCAGTCCTCCTCCCGACCCCCCCCGAGGCCTCGCTCCACCCACTGACCTGCTCTCGCAGCCGCTCCTGGTGGCCCATGATCGCCGAGGCGTGATGGGGGTACTTCTGCTTCAGGTGCTCCAGGAAGGCCTCCCTCTTCTTGTCCATGTCCGGCGGCTGCATGGCCAGGATCTCCCGGGCGCCGCGGGCTCCCCCCAACGTGTGCCTACGGGGGACGGTGCGGCTGCCTTTGGCGTCCCCCTTCGGAGTCCCATTCGGGGACGCCTGCCTGCGGCCGACGTGCTGCGCGTCCTCCGGGGACGTCACCTTCAGGTTGCTTTTGGTTTGCTCTGAGGGGGACAGAGGGGCAAGGCGTCAGGACGGACGTGGCGGAAAGCTCTTCTCTGCTACTGTAGGAAGGAAAATAGAAAACTGACTCCAAATACGCGGTAATAGCCTCTCAAACAAACATACGCCGCTGACCCAGTTCATCATATATTCATGCTGTTACACGTCGGATGTAAATCCACAACTTAATCTGACAGGCAGAATATCGGTGATGGAGACACTGAATTGAAGCAGATGGTTTAATATAAAAGCCAAGGATATCCATCAATGTAAACACACAAATGGAGGAACACCAGAAGAGATGTTAAAGCAGCCAGACTGTTGCAACATTTAGAAGATGAGCAAAAACTGCTTGATGGAATACGTTTTATTGAGAGCTGACCTATTAATTAAAAAATATTAAAAATGCATGTATTTTTCAGAAGAGCCGACCAATACTTCTGCAAATACTCTCTACAAAGACACTTAATACTAAAAGGTGTTGGATATTTGATTTTAGGGCAGAATAAATATTAATAAATAATATAAACAATAAATATTACCTCTCTAACAAAAGAATCTTTGCACGTTTTTACCTTATTTTAAATCAATCCGTGCCCGTAAATAAATAAATAATTCATCATTCTGACATCTTTACTGTGAGATTCTGCGAGAGGAGACGTGAAGTGAAGATAAGAGACAAAATAGAGTTTAGATGGAAGAGAAGTGTGTACCTTTGAAAATAAAAGGAGCTGTTATGGAGTTCAGCTACTCGACCGTTTTATTTATATTTCAAGTGTTTTTTTTACTATTGTGAATTGTTTAATATGGCTTATCGTTTGTTCTCTTTCAGTCCAACATTCTTCCCCTGCAGATCTCATGTGGGAAAAAATACTTTTCAGAATGAACACAAAATCAGGCCAAAACCTTTTAGACCAAAAAAATTTGGTTGTGTTGCGTCACGATTAAGTCCGGTCAACAGAGGATCAGACCCAAACACCCCCCCCACGCCACTCAAGTTCAGAGCCGCAGGGCCCTCATGTACTTCCACGCCTATTTTTAACTCCCAGAAAGTTTCCCCACTGCTAACCGAACTACACTCGAACAGAACGGACTCAAACCCCTGAAGCGTCAGAACGCGGGTGGCCTGTCAGAAAGCTCATTACCTTCCCCGAGTGAACAATCTCTGCCTTCATCTGCTACTTCCTCCATTGCACGCTGGGACCAACGCGCACAGCGGGACCGGGGGACGATCCGCTAACTTAGCTCGCTTAGAGATTCCAGACGGCGCTCACGTGGAAAAAAAAAAAAGAAAAAAAAGGGGGGCTTGAGATAGGCCCTGCCCCACGGGCCCAGGATAGACTGGTGGGGATTTAGAAAGTCAACCGCATTCCAGCGCCGCTAGCCCCCTCGACCCCGAGCTAAAAGCTCCCCTGCCTCCATGCTGTGGGGCTCAGGCGGAATGTAAATGTGGGGGGGAGCGTTGCACAAGACGATAGAGAAAGGTGTCAGTCAAACTGTCTCACAGGCACATTAATGAATACACACACACACACACACACACACACACACACAGTCGGTTCTTTATCGGGTCTTTGTTTTTGCAAGCCGTCTCTCGCTTAAGTCCCGATCCCCACAGAGGGCCGGGCCCCCCCCCCCCCCTCCCGCCAGACACGAGCAAGCACCCAAATGTGTCATAACCTACTTCTGAGCCACATCCAAACTACTCAACAGAGCGCACAGGCAGCCAGCGAACACGAGACGCAGTTATCTGATCGACGCGACAAGCGGCCGTCCTGCAGGCAGCGTGGTTTCCAATTAGGAGCCGCGCAGGACACGCCGGCCTTTGTTTGTTGGCTTCTCTGCGGTTTATTAAAAGCAACACTGTCCTATTTGCCTGCTGACAGTCAACAAACATGCGCGCCGGCTGGAGCTAATATATATATATATATATATATATATATATATGCATTATATGTGTGTGTTTATGCAAAAGAGGATGGGGTGTGGAGGGAGGGGGGGGTGATTTCTTCACATGAAAGTGACCTGATCTAAATGTGCAAGCGGAAGGCGCAGAATTTGCAGAGTGTAAGAGTGTGAACGTGAGGGGATCAATGGCCTAGTTCGTGGGCCATGTAATTGAGAGCGGTGGGGTGAGCGCATGAAGAGACACAATGCAGCAGCTGACGGGTGATGTCAAACATACGGAGACAAGTCTGCTCCCGCCCGCTATGTCTGCTTCCAGCCGCTCAGACACTCAGACCCCCAAAAAGCCAGACCGCTAACAGGCCAATCATGTAATTATACTTTGACACATAAGTTAACGTCATGCTACGCTAACACTTTAGATAGTTATCCGTAATGCTAGTCTGATTCCATGAAATGTTTTTTTTCTTGCGCAGGTTTCAAAGCCTCGAGACGCCGCGTACTTGAGGATACACATTAGTAATTTCCTTTCGTTTCCCAGAAGGATTATGCAACAACACCCAGAAAACAGGCCAGAACGTGTTGAGCAGTGGCAACGTGAGCAGCAGCTATAGCATTGCAATAAAGGCAATGCATCCTTTTTGATAAGGATTTCTCAAGCGTAATTGCTCAAAGCCGCAAAATAGAATCCACACAGTTACTTAACCCGACCTGAAAGTAGCTTTTAAATAAGAACCAGCTACATTTACATTAAATATTCACCCATACATCCGACCGACCGACCGACCCAGAGGACGGCCGCTAGCCAACCCTCAGGCATAATCAAAGCAGCTCCGGCCAAACCAAACAATCGCGCCGCGTGGTCTCCCCCACCCGCGTCAGTGTGTCACGTGCCAAAAGAACGAACTCCCGTCTACCGAGAGTGTCACCAGAGATCCGCCAGGGAACTTCGGCGCGGCCCGACGGCTTAAGAGCGCCGCTCTCCTCCGCCAACAGCTGCCGGTGGCGAGTGAATGATGGTCCCCCCTCAGTTGAAAGACGACATGAGACACTTGCCCAGGAGCACCCAGGTGTTACGAGGAGCAGGGGGGGTTGGGGGTGTTTGCAGTTACTTTTCTGGTTGTCACTTCTTTATGGAGGAATGTATCCCCGTGCACACTGCCACTCTCCCCTACTATTACTGTCTCATAACTATGCAGTTGGATACAAAGCCCCGCTGTGTGCAATAAAAGCAGGGCTCACATAGCGGCACCCTGAAGCCATGAATGGCGTTACACATAACGGCGCTGCTCCACTGCCGAGTGTCCGACAGTGTTTTTATTATGTAGACGCTATCGGTGTGTCACATGATCCGTGCATGTGGAAACTGGGCCTTGTGAACAAAAAGGATCTTATTTAAATGTGATACGTATACATTAAGATGAATGCAATGCAATACATTGCAATAAGTAATTTGGACTGAGACTTTAAATCTTTTTTTAAACGTAGCCAGTGGGCTGAAATAATGATGACCCATGATGTTTGGTCGGGTCCTCACTTTTGGTCCGGACCAATGAAAACTTCGGGAACAACTACGGGACGTATTGCAGTGGTGGGTGTTTTCATTCAGTTCAGATGAAGTATTTATTGACACTGATGTATGGAACCATCTAAGCTTTTTCTTAAATATAAATAACCCCATGTTAGCAAGCAAAGAGCATTTAACTCACATCACTCTGTGTACAACTTTTTGTGGCATTCGACTATCGTTCTTTAAAGACAATAGGTAACTACACATGTTGAAGTAACTTGGTTAAACAAAGTGAAATAATCTAATTTCATCCATTTCTTTTTTAGATACCGGCTTGCGAGAGCATCTAATGCCCAAACACCCGTTTTGTTTTTTCTTACGGCCACCTGATTCCGCGCCCTTCTTCGATTATCTCGTTACTCTCTTCCGCCCACAGTCAGCGCTGCACGCCGCCGGGCGAGGGAGTGCGTGGAGGTGACCCGCTCGCAGCTCACAGGAAAAGAGGCCGATTTCTCCACCGACCTGTCGCTGATTGCTGATGTGAAGGATAAGCGCTCTCCTTGTGCAGGTAACTGACACCGGAGTTTGCAAATACCCACCGCAATGCAGACTGGCCACATTTTTCACATCAAATTCTCACACACACACACATAGAGACTCATGCACCAACACCTGATTGCAGGAAGTATCTCACCTCCGGTCTGGGTATCGGTCAGGCTCTTTGCACGTTCAAGTCATAAAAACTACAGTTTTCGGGGATATCAACACATGTAAAACACACCACATGTGTGAAAGTGATTAATAACAAAGCGAAAGGGGAAATAGGGACCTTTAGGTGGGAGGGATTTCATTTCTAGCTTTGCCTAAGGCTCGCTGCCAAGGAGAAATGTTTGCATACGAAATCCACTAATCAGAGGAACATTATGAATGAGATGACCTTTAACCCCGAGTCGTTCCCTCCCTGGATCACTGCTTCTTTGTTTTGATTTTTGGGAGGTTGATTATATGAGCTTCGGGTCACGATTCCTGCAGGACATCAGGCTGCAATTTGTTTCTTCCTTCATGATTTATTAGCACAGAACTGGCCTCAATGAATTCAATATGGTTTTCAAATAATTCTGTATTTCTTCCTCTCATAATTCATTTCTTTTCCCATCATTATTATACTTTTTAACTGTTTTAACAAAAAACAGCCACCCCCACACATTTCTTGGAAATCTGGAACCGCATCCTTCTCGTCTCCCTGTGTTTACTTGACGTGTTGATTCAAGAGTGGACTCCACAGCGCGCACGTGTTCAGCCGCAGCGCACACCGGCACTCTCATGCTGTGAACTACACACAACAGATCTCGACCGTCCCCTCGATGCCCGTCCTCCACGTAGAAACACGCAACCGTCGACTCCTCCGGGAATAAAACACCATGAGATAAAGCACCGCACATGAACCACACGCACACAGTTTGAAGCTGACGAATGGAATCTCATCAGTGGCTTAAAAGTGAGGAGCCCGATTCCCGGAAGTTCTGAAACTCATTTGACTGCTCAGCACCGTGGCTGGATTTTCCTATTTTAATCTTGTTTTTGAAT